CCAAAAAAATATGCAAACTGTGCATTAATGTTCTCTCTACAACCATTTGTTGAGAAAATGTCTAAATTTTGCACTTTTTAATGATAATTTCAAGTTCAAAACAAGGTACCGTTGTCTTCAAAAAGAGTGCAAAGAACCATGAAAGTAGTTCATGGATAGCAGCACGTGGTCTATTTTTAGCACAGAAATTTGTTTTCCAGACCTCTTCTTAAAATGGAAGGACATAACAATCTTAAATGTAGAAGAGAATTACAGTTGCAAAATATTTCAAATATTACGAAGACTTTTAAAAGAGGAAAGGTGTTATAGTGTGGCTTGAAGTAATTTATTTAGTATTATTATCGAACAGTTGTTAAATAGTGTCCGTATTGCTATAAAAAAAATCTTAAACTCTTTGACTCCAGGTAAAGAAAACTGAGCACCATCAAAGTTAAAAATTAAGAGTTTGTAAGTTTGCCATAGATAACTTATATTATCTATCAAAATTTTAATTATCACCAATGAAACACAAAGAAATAAGACACATATAATCGATATGAATGACCTTATTTAATACTTACTAGTACCAGGGGTGATCAAAAAGTTCGAACTATCTCTATATCTACAAAACCACAATTCAGATTAGAAACATAGCCAAACACAATGTTCTATAAATAGCATATGCTGAAGTCTTGCTCCTTGTTTGTTATGTCACAATCTGAAAATGACGTCATGCATGTACTTGTGACGAAAATTCTATTTGCCCATATTGTCAAAATTAAAATTTTACAAAGTAAAGAAAAAAAAAATCAACATAATTAAAAAATTTATACGATCTTTAAAATGACGGTTGGTGGTCCTCCCAACTTAGGGAAAAATTACTGGGTCCGTATTTATAGGTGAGAAAGAAATTCCTAAAAAAAATTTAAACATAATTGTTGACGGAAGAAAAAGAAAAAAATATCGTGTAATGGGATGTAAAAAAAATGAGTCGGGCCATTTCCAGGCAGTAGATCGGGAGAGAGGGCAACCAAAAAAATTTTTATAACAAGTGGTCTTATAAGGCTAGTACATATTCCATCACGTACTTAGTAATGCAAAATCTTTTAATCTTTTGCACTATTTTGAAAAACAAACATAGGATTTTCGGGGAGGGGGGGGGGGGGGCTCTCATTTTTTTTGCGATGATATAGACATAGCATATGCAATGGACCTTTCTTTGCAAACATTGTACTCGCTTCTAAATTTCAAAGAAACAACTCAATATATTTTATCAAGCTTCGTATGATCAATGAGCGAGAGCTTACAACGTTGTCAACATAATGAGACATGATGCATTTTTATGTCCAAACATTAAACCATACAATGTGTTGGTCATTGCAAACAATCTAGCTATTTATGTGAGGTGCCTGAAGGAAATCCTATAACTGCATATTTTTTCTATCTAACTTCTAAACAAAATATACATATGTACCAATTTAAGAATGTAAGACATGTAATTACAATTTATTTTTCATGCACCGCATATTGTTTAACATTTTCAAATTAAATGCTAAGCATCCTCCTTGCAGTGCCCCATTTGAAAATAACTTCTATCGCCACAGAAAAAAGACCCGTCGTAAACACATATGTTTAGGACATTTTTATCTTTTTTTTTTCTTGAGTTTTAAAGACACCAACAAATTATCAAGAATTGTTCCATGAAAAATTAAATATAATCATGGTAATAATCGGATATATCCACAGCAGATATATGCACATGCCAACCACGTGCTCAGTGGAATAATTTTAACGAGGAAACTCGAACTGTAAACAGAACAGTTTTTCCCGATTTGCTGGAGTGGGGTTAAAATCGCCTTTTTCATTAATCAGATGATGCGATGCAACAAATAAAAGTAGTAAGTAATATAACCTAATGATTATTACTGAGTAATTTCTTGTCTTGATGTTATTATGGTCGCATTTATTCTAAAATCAATGTTATTCGAACTCTGTGTGACAGAGGAATGGCGGACGAAATAAACACATGGCCTCAGGAAGACACCCATAAGAAAAATCAAATTTTCAAGAATTATGGATAATGACAAGAAAAAAGCGAAACAAATGGTTGTAGCCATATTATCAATGAATCAAACTAACACCATTTTCAATGCATTTATCATCTCGTAAATGCTGTAGCTGTGCAGTTCTAACATGATTAATTTCCTCCTAATTAAAACAAGATAAACTTATTTGTTAACTAATTTTGGTCTCTAACAGTAGGTAATTAGTGCATTAGCACTTTGAGTAACTTTGGGCTAGTTTAGTAGAGTATTAAGCGTATTCTTGGTATTTCTTATTTTACACCAGACTAGATCCAAAATGGCTTGTACATCCCCCTTAATGGGGTGTTGCTAAAACGCGGAACGGAAAACGGAACGGAAAGCGGAACGGAACGGAAAACGGAAAATATTATTTTCGATTAAATCATTTAAAATATATAAATTTCTCAGAAACGATATGTTTTATACATATTTAATCCCTCCTTAATGAATACAAGTTTATTTTATCATTTTAAGTTTGTTAACAGACGAAGTGTTGGAGGTTTCAATGATCATTTCTATAGTATAAAGATTATGTCTGAAAAACATGGGGGTGCAATATTTGTTATCTAAATGAATCATGGTAATTGGTAAGACAAATAAAATGAAAGAAAAAAAACTTCTATAATAAGATTACTATTAGAACACCCCGGATAAACACTTCCATTGTAAAACTGGTAGTTAAATTTTTATACCAAATAGAGTCGCTTACTATCAATTAAAACCCTGGATAGATAGAGTTGTAAATCTAAATTGTTGTTAAACTTATATATCGTCCTTACGTTGAATGAATTTAAAGTAAGATTTTTTGGGGGGCTGGGAGGGGGGGGGGGGTGAATGACTTCGTAAAACATTTAGAGTTTGTTTTTCCGCTCAGGTCTGATAAGTTGCAATTAAAGAAAAAAATTAAACATGCTATTAAATTCCTTTGCAAGAAATATTTTCTTATGGTGCAGCTATTCATATATGAATTTCTCAATATTATCATATGCCACTCATGTATTTAGGAGGGGAGCAAGACCACCCCGTCCTTTTTGTGACCCCAAACTGCCCCATCCCTTTTCAAGATTCCCGGATTCGCAAATGCATTCATAATGCATATGTCAAAATTAGTTCTTTACGTTTTGTCTATACCGATACACGTATGTATACATACTCGTAGTTTTTTCTCCTTCCGCCTATTTCAAGACAATTAAGATTTTTTTGGTTTATAAATTATTGTAACCATTCTAAAAAAATGATTTGAACGAAACGTTTGACAGATGGATACTACATGTAGTTAGTTCATATATAACACAGGAATACATTCATTGACCATCGCATGTACATGTTATGAAGGGTGTATGATTAACGAATATATCATATTTTACTTTAATTTTTCATTAAATATGACTTTAATATATCAGGAATATTGCTCTTTATGTCTTATTCATATCGAATCAAACTTCTTTGCTTGACATTTCTTTTCCGTTTTCCGTTCCGTTCCGCTTTCCGTTCCGTTTTCCGTTCCGCGTTTTAGCAACACCCCCCTTAATGAACTCTATATCTAGAACTGAAAGATAGGGCGCAGATTCCCTGACACCCCATATCCGCCACTCCCCGTGTGTTTTCTAACATGTATTCTTTTGTATTCAAAAGTTATCTTATGAATAATTAGTTTTTATTAAAACATAAATATGTCAACAAAGGATCACTTCATTATAAATAGGGATCTGACCTATAGGACCGGGCTTGGTTTTATTCTCTACAAAAAGCTTGTCGATTTCCGTTCTGATTAATGACATTAGGCCGAATACATATAACAATTTGTTTTTCCTAAATCTTTATTTCAGTGAGTAGAGATAGGAGGAACCCTTTTTATTGATTTTCTGAGTTTGTTATCTCCAAATGTTATAATTGATATTTGTCTTTACTTCTCATTGTGCATAAAGGTAATGTCTACTGCCTCTGAAATTCTGTTCTTAATGTCTAGGCTATTTATCCGTAGATATAATAAAAACTTGTCTTTAATGTGTGCAAATTATAAAGGCCTACATGAAATCCAAGTGAGTGCATTTACTGAAATATGAAGCCAAAATCAATGTGATTAAATTCTAAGGGATATATACAATTGAAATTCATCGCAGCTCAATGCTGCCAGGAATACCTGTATTGAGTAACACATAGTGAGTTATTCTTGTCCTCGGAGAAGTGTGCTTATACTGAGGTTCGTTCCACCTGACTGACAACTGGATTGTTACGATTTAATATCTCTTTAGTGTTTCTTATATCAAGAATGGGAATGCATAAGGGATAAACAATTGAAGGAAAAATACACAAGCCTATAAAAAAAATTAAAATAGTCTTTGAAAAGGCGAAATTTAAAACTGAAAAGTGTTGTACCAGGTGGATTCGAACCCCCGACTTTAAAAAAGAGAGTATCCAAGGTGCAAAAAGTCAGCGCATATATCAACTGAGCTAGTCTGACTATAAGAATGAACGGCATAAATTTACAGAAGATTTTGAAAATCTGGTTTCCTTATTTTTTATAGGTTTTTTGTGAATTTCGACCCCAGGGCAGGGGTGCCCCTAAAAAAATCTTATCTTAAATTATTCCTTACATCATAACCTATCAAAATATCATAATTTTATTTAGGGACAGGCCTGCCCTGATGGACTTTAAGGCCAAAATTCATGCAAAAATCAACGCTTTAAAGGACAAAATGGTGTTTCGATCAACTTTGGAGGTTTATTGTCAAGTTATAAATAATAAATTTTAGGTATAAAATACAAATTTAAAAAAAATAGACATATATACGGTAGAAAACAACAAATAAAGATTGATTTTTAAATGTCACTTTTTCCGGGAAATTGTTCTCTCCTATAGGTCAATTCTTTTGTTAAAGCGAATACATCCTTTGGTTTTCAACGGCATATTTTATTTCAATTTATTTCAGAAATATGTGGATCTTAATGATATTAAATATTTTCACCGCAATTCAAAACTCAAATGCAAGAGACTGTGCTTGCGCACTGCAAACAGAACAGATTCTGAACGGTGATGCAGGTTTCGTGGGAACAGCATTGATCGGAGAGTGTTTCGATGTCCTTCTCCACACAAACGCTACCTGGCAGCATATACAATACCACCATCAGGTACACAATGCACCATACACAGTACCACCATCAGGTACATGTAAACACTACTCACACTACATCATATACAATACCACCATCAGGTACACAATGCACCATACACAGTACCACCATCAGGTACATGTAAACACTACTCAAACTGCACCATATACAGTACCACCATCAGGTACATGTAAACACTACTCACACTGCATCATATACAGTACCACCATCAGGTACATGTAAACACTACTCACACTACATCATATACAGTACCACCATCAGGTACATGTAAACACTACTCACACTACATCATATACAGTACCACCATCAGGTACATGTAAACACTACTCACATTACATCATATACAGTACCACCATCAGGTACATGTAAACACTACTCACACTACATCATACACAGTACATCATATACAGTACCACCATCAGGTACATGTAAACACTACTCACACTGTGTCATATACAGTACCACCATCAGGTACATGTAAACACTACTCACACTGCATCATCTACAGTATCACCATCAGGTACATGTAAACACTACTCACATTACATCATATACAGTACCACCACCAGGTACATGTACATTACACTACAAGTTCAAAACATTACATCATATACAGTACCACCATCAGGTACATGTAAACACTACTCACATTACATCATATACAGTACCACCATCAGGTACATGTAAACACTACTCACACTACATCATATACAGTACCACCATCAGGTACATGTAAACACTACTCACACTACATCATATACAGTACCACCATCAGGTACATGTAAACACTACTCACACTGCATCATATACAGTACCACCATCAGGTACAAGTAAACACTACTCACACTACATCATATACAGTACCACCATCAGGTACATGTAAACACTACTCACACTGCATCATCTACATTACAACCATCAGGTACAAGTAAACACTACTCACACTGCACCATATACAGTACCACCATCAGGTACATGTAAACACTACTCACACTGCATCATATACAGTACCACCATCAGGTACATGTAAACACTACTCACACTACATCATATACAGTACCACCATCAGGTACATGTAAACACATTACTTACATTCAATATACAGTCCAACAGGTCATTAACACATGTCATCTACAGTACCACCATCAGGTACATGTAAACACTACTAATAACACACTACATCATATACAGTACCACCATCAGGTACATGTAAACATTCCACACAGGTCATTACATACCACCAACAGGTACATGTATACAGAGCACATTAACTTACAAGTTCAAATACATTCCACCACCATCAGGTACATGTAAACACATTCACACTTACAAGTCATATACAGTACCACCATCAGGTACATGTATACAAACACTACAAGTTCACAAACATCATATACAGTACCACCACAGGTACATGTCAATACAGAGGTACATTAACTTACAAGTTCAAAACATTCCAACATCATATAATACCATCAGGTACATGTACAACACATTAACTTCACACAAGTTCATCATTACAGGTCATTAATACCACCATCAGGTACATGTAAACAGTATCCTCACAACTTACAAGTTCAAAACATTCCAACAGGTCATTAATAACATACATTAACTTACAAGTACCAAAACATGTCCAACAGGTCATTAATCACAGGTACATGTATACAGTAGCACATAACTTACAAGTTCAAAACATTCCACAGGTCATCATATAATACCACCATCAGGTACATGTAAACACTAGCACACTTACAAGTTCAAAACATTCCATACAGGTCATTAATCAGGTACATGTAAACACTAGCACATTAACATTACAGTTCAAAACATTCCAACAGGTCATTAATAACAGGTACATGTATACAGAGCACATTAACTTACAAGTTCAAAACATTCCAACAGGTCATTAATAACAGGTACATGTAAACAGAGCACATTAACTTACAAGTTCAAAACATTCCAACAGGTCATTAATAACAGGTACATGTATACAGAGCACATTAACTTACAAGTTCAAAACATTCCAACAGGTCATTAATAACAGGTACATGTAAACAGAGCACATTAACTACTACAAGTTCAAAACATTCCAACAGGTCATTAATAACAGGTACATGTATACAGAGCACATTAACTTACAAGTTCAAAACATTCCAACAGGTCATTAATAACAGGTACATGTATACAGAGCACATTAACTTACAAGTTCAAAACATTCCAACAGGTCATTAATAACAGGTACATGTATACAGAGCACATTAACTTACAAGTTCAAAACATTCCAACAGGTCATTAATAACAGGTACATGTAAACAGAGCACATTAACTTACAAGTTCAAAACATTCCAACAGGTCATTAATAACAGGTACATGTATACAGAGCACATTAACTTACAAGTTCAAAACATTCCAACAGGTCATTAATAACAGGTACATGTATACAGAGCACATTAACTTACAAGTTCAAAACATTCCAACAGGTCATTAATAACAGGTACATGTAAACAGAGCACATTAACTTACAAGTTCAAAACATTCCAACAGGTCATTAATAACAGGTACATGTAAACAGAGCACATTAACTTACAAGTTCAAAACATTCCAACAGGTCATTAATAACAGGTACATGTAAACAGACCACATTAACTTACAAGTTCAAAACATTCCAACAGGTCATTAATAACAGGTACATGTATACAGAGCACATTAACTTACAAGTTCAAATCATTCCAACAGGTCATTAATAACAGGTACATGTATACAGAGCACATTAACTTACAAGTTCAAAACATTCCAACAGGTCATTAATAACAGGTACATGTATACAGAGCACATTAACTTACAAGTTCAAAACATTCCAACAGGTCATTAATAACAGGTACATGTATACAGAGCACATTAACTTACAAGTTCAAAACATTCCAACAGGTCATGTAAAACACTCACACATGTATACAGAGCACATTAACTTACAAGTTCAAAACATTCCAACAGGTCATTAATAACAGGTACATGTATACAGTAGCACATCAGGTACATGTAAACACTTCACAACAGGTCATTAATAACAGGTACATGTAAACAGAGCACATTAACTTACAAGTTCAAAACATTCCAACAGGTCATTAATAACAGGTACATGTAAACAGCACATTAAATTACAAGTTCAAAACATTCCAACAGGTCATTAATAACAGGTACATGTAAACAGAGCACATCACACTTACAAGTTCAATACAGTACCAACAGGTCATTAATAACAGGTACATGTATACAGAGCACATTAACTTACAAGTTCAAAACATTCCACACAGGTCATAATAACAGTACACCAAACAGGTACATCACATTACACTTACACAGTACATCATAACAGTACCACCACAGGTACATGTAATAACAGGTACATGTCATATACAGTACCACCATCAGGTACATGTAAAACATTCACACAGGTCATTAATACATCATTACAGTACCACCACAGGTACATGTAAACAGAGCACATTAACATACAAGTACAAACATTCCATCAGGTACATGTAAATACTACTCACACTACATCATATACACTACCACCATCAGGTACCTGTAAACACTACTCTTACAGTGTCATATACAGTACCACCATCAGGTACATGTAAACACTTCACAAACATTCATATACAGTATTACCATCAGGTACATGTAAACAGATTCACATTAACTTACAAGTTCAAAACATTCCAACAGGTCATTAATAACAGGTACATGTCATATACAGACCACCATAAGGTACATGTTAAACACATCACACAATCATATACATTAACCAACAGGTACATGTAAACACACATTAACTTACAGTTCAAAACATTCCAACAGGTCATTAATAACAGGTACATGTAAACAGAGCACATTACACTTACAAGTTCAGTACATTCCAACAGGTACATAATAACACACACATGTCATATACAGAGCACATTAACTTACAAGTTACACACACATTCCAACAGGTCATTAATAACAGGTACATGTAACAGAGCACATTACACTTACACTTACAGTTCAAAACATTCCACCATCAGGTACATGTAATAACACACACATGTCATATACAGAGCACATTAACTTACATGTCAAACACATCACACAACAGGTCATTAATACACAGGTACCACCATCAGAGTACATTAACTTACAAGTTCACACATTCATATACAGGTCATTAATAACAGGTACATGTAACAGAGCACATTAACTTACAGTTCAAACTGCATCATTACCACCATCAGGTACATTAAAATAACACACATGTCATATACAGAGCACATTAGGTACTTACAAGTTCAAAACATTCCACACAGGTCATTAATAACAGGTACATGTATACAGAGCACATAACTTACAAGTTCAAAACATTCCACACAGGTCATTAATAACAGGTACATGTAAACAGACACATTACTACTATTACAAGTTCAAAACATTCCAACAGGTCATTAATAACAGGTACATGTAAACAGAGCACATTAACTTACAAGTTCAAAACATTCCAACAGGTCATTAATAACAGGTACATGTATACAGAGCACATTAACTTACAAGTTCAAAACATTCCAACAGGTCATTAATAACAGGTACATGTATACAGAGCACATTAACTTACAAGTTCAACACATTATGTACATACACAGTTCAAAACAGAAAAATTACATATATAACAGGTACATTTGAAAAAAATGCAGTATATAACTTACAAGTTCAAAACAAATTCCAGGAAATGTTGTGTCATTGATGAACAGGTACATGTATACAGAGCACATTAACTTACAAGTTCAAAACATGGTCAAACAGGTCATTAATAACAGGTACATGTCCAACAAGGTCACAAAGTTAAAATTGTTGGTATCCAAAACATTGCCAAAAGGTACATATGTGAAATCATACATCATATACAGTACCACCATCAGGTATATGTAAACACTACTCACACTGTGTCATATACAGTACCACCGTCAGGTACATGTAAACAATACTCACATTACATCATATACACTACCATATACCATATACACTACCACCATCAGGTACATGTAAACACTACTCACATTACATTATATACAGTACCACCATCAGGTACATGTAAACACTACTCACACTGCATCATATACAGTACCACCACCAGGTACATGTAAACACTACTCACACTACATCATATACAGTACCAACATCAGGTACACATAAACACTACTCACATTACATTATATACAGTACCACCATCAGGTACATGTTAACACTACTCACACTACATCATATACAGTACCACCATCAGGTACATGTAAACACTACTCACATTGCATCATCTACAGTACCACCATCAGGTACATGTAAACACTACTCACACTACATCATATACAGTACCACCATCAGGTACCTGTAAACACTACTCACACTGTGTCATATACAGTACCACCATCAGGTACCTGTAAACACTACTCACACTGCATCATATACAGTACCACCCTCAGGTATATGTAAACACAACTCACACTACATCATCTAAAGTACCACCACCAGGTACATGTAAACACTACTCACACTACATCATCTACAGTACCACCATCAGGTACATGTAAACACTACTCACACTGTGTCATATACAGTACCACCATCAGGTACATGTAAACACTACTCACACTGTGTCATATACAGTACCACCATCAGGTACATGTAAACACTACTCACACTGTGTCATATACAGTACCACCATCAGGTACATGTAAACACTACTCACACTGTGTCATATACAGTACCACCATCAGGTACATGAAAACACTACTCACACTGTCATCTACAGTACCACGATCAGGTACATGTAAACACTACTCACACTACATCATCTACAGTACCACAGTCAGGTACATGTAAACACTACTCACATTAGATCATCTACAGTACCACCATCAGGTACATATAAACACTACTCACACTACATCATATACAGTACCACCATCAGGTACATGTAAACACTACTCACACTACATCATATACAGTACCACCATCAGGTACATGTAAACACTACTCACACTACATCATATACAGTACCACCATCAGGTACATATAAACACTATACACACACTGTCATATACAGTACCACCATCAGGTACATATAAACACTATACACACACTGTCATATACAGTACCACCATCAGGTACATATAAACACTATACACACACTGTCATATACAGTACCACCATCAGGTACATGTAAACACTACTACTACTACTACTATTAATACTTTATTTAAAGAGGGTAGCCCGATTAGTGCAATGCACTAGTCTTCCTCGGAGCCCTCTATACATGAATAGTACAATTATGTATACAACAGTACAATAATCAGAAAAATTACAAGTATATTACATACATGAATTACATTTGAAAAAAAAGAAAATATATATTATCAAAACAGAGAAACAAGTTACAAATTAGGAAATGTTGTGTCCATTGTTGATAAGGATTAAATATGTGAAGTACGAAAGCCCTATCCCTTACCGTTCAAAGGTTATGGTCAAGGTTAAAGTTTTTTCATAAGAACGGAAATCTCCAAGGTCAAGGTCAAAAGTAAAAATTGTTGGTATCCAATGAAAGGCCTTGCCAGAAAAAAAATACATATGTGAAATATGAAAGTCCTAGTTTCTACCATTCAAAAGATATGGCCAAAGTAAAAGTTTGGAATTTTTTGTGTAAAAGTGGGTCAAACTCCAAGGTCAAGGTCAAAAGGTCAAATTTGGTGGTACCCAAAGAAAGGTCTTGTCACAAGGAATACACATATGAAATATGAAAGCCAAAGCTCCACTGAATCAAAAGTCATGGGCAATTTTCAAGTTTTTGTGACGGACGGACAGACTGACAGACTGACGGACAGACGAATGATATTTAATGTCCCCTCGATTTCGCGAATGCGGGGGAGAAAAATAATAAAACAAATGTAGCCCTTTAATTCGGTCATGCAGTTCATAGATATATCGACGTCACAGAAAAGCATGTCGACCTCGCACTTCGTGCTCGATATATACCGTATCTACGGATCGACCTCATCAAAGGGCTATATTTATACAGTATCATATGAAAGCCCTATATTTTCTCGTTCAAAAGTTATGTCCAATTTAAAGTACATGTAATGTAAGAATTTTAGAAAATGATGAATGAGATTGATTAACCCCTTGCATTCGCAGAAGCGGGAAACAACAAAATTCTTCAATTTTCGCGGCAAAAAAATTATTTAATTAGACTAATGTGGAATTCTTAGATTTTGAATCATTCAAAATGTGGAATTTTTAAGGTTTTCACCAAATAAATTCTGGGTATATCATTTTCCTTCGACACTGATATTTTAACCACTACTACTCAACTTTTGACGATTTGGTGCATTTAATTATGCTTGTATAATGTGCTCTTGAAATTGAACTTTTTCTTTCAATGATACGAAAGTTGTAATAAAAGTGGTTGTTAAGGTATAGTGAGTTTTTGCTTCATATTTTGTTCACCAAAATGTATATTTGTACGCAAACTTCAAGGTCAGCGTTCCAAATTATGGAGCGAGACCCACTCACATATAAATGGAAAAATTACGTTATGAGATTTGGTGTGTATAAGCTTTTTCATATACAAAAAATTTCAATCATTGTGAATTTTTTGCAGGTTATTTAGATTTTATATAAAGTATACGTCAAAAATTATTATATTAGATTTAGATGAATTATCAGAGAAAAAATTATAATTCATACTTGACATTCACATGTACTTGTTCAATTATAGTCGCACTATAGGCATTATATAAATTTTCGCTCGCCTTGTTCGCCAATCTTCTTTAGACTTGGCCTATTTAAATTTCAGATGAGAATGTTTATAATTTTTTTGAGTGCTTAAAATGATTATATCCTGATTTTTTTCTCTATGTATTATTTCTGACTTTCTCGTAGGAAGAGAACTGTTTGTTAGCAGAACTTGAGATTATACAGTTGAAAATGTTCTACAAACGTCATGCAGACATTCTGTTCCTTTGTAGAGTGCCTGGATATCCATCTCATCTGTAGAAATACGGGACTGTGACAGTGAGTAGCTTTGGCAAACTTTCGGTAAACTGTAACCGCTGTGACATTAATTCACTGATAAACAATGAAGAAAAGCTTTTTTATCAATGTTATAACTTTCCCTCTTATTTATGACGATGTGTGTAGTATAGGTATATCCATGTTAAAAACATAGCCCCCAGTGTAATTCGTTGGTCGTCAGAGGTGCGGGGGGGGTAAATTAACTTAAAATTAAAAAATAGCTTGTATAATTACCGTGTATTTAAGTAAGATTGACAAAAAATGAACCCCTATAACAGTTGGTAGAGTAAAAAGTGAAAATATTCTCCCAACTTGTTGCAAAATCAAAATGAATTAGTCTTGAAAATATTTGTCTGAAAATTTAAAACAGATCGGTCTCAAAATCAAATCAGTTCATTATAATATATAACCTTTAGTTTGCAAGACATACATTTGTATAAACCAAAACCTTTTTTCTGCACTCTGAACAAATCAGAAATCAATCAAATTACTGAATTTAATTGTATAAAGTTATTTTCTGTTGCATAGGTACTGTTCCAACAACCACCCCAGGTTCTGTGGATCCTACTGCAGTCAGGCCGTCCCCCCAGTTACCGGGGTGTCCTCATATCATTACCCGCGCTGATTGGGGCGCCATGCCGCCTTCTCATGCCATGACGCTGTTAACAGAAAAACCGAAGCTAGTAATTATACACCATGGCGCAACCAGCCCATGTTCCACACAAACCGAGTGCTCAAAGCGAGTGCGCGCATATCAAACTTTTCATATGTCAGCGCCACCTGCTGGACGAGGTAAGACTATGAGTCTCCTTTAATTTTCGTAAGTTTTGCATGGAAAATGGGGGCAAAGAATACAAATTAAGCTGAAAAGTCCATTGAATCAATACGTATCAGGAACAGAGCAAACAAGCACCTCTAGAAACATCAGAGATAAGATTAGGTGCCATGGAGGAGTAAGTTTCCTCTGTCAACAGGTCTCGCCTGCCGTGTGCTCCTTGTCACGAATGGACAAACGTTAAAACCTCTAGTCAATCCGGTTTGTAAATAATTTGCTTAACATTGAATAAGTATGAAAGAAGTCAGTCGGCATTAAGCTTTATAAAAGATTGTACTAGCTGACAAGTTACTTGTATCCACCATAGAATTTGCCAAATGCTCACTTTAAACGAGACTTGTTTCTCCAACTTGTTTGTCAATAGCTTGTCTCATTTTAGAAACTGTTCATACATAGAGCATGCTCATGAATACCGACTCCACTGCATGGAAGATATAAACACCATACGTGCATGGATATCGATGATAAGGGTAATACTGCATAAATGTAAGGGAATTTGACGGTAGAAAAATTGAAATCATCACTTTTATTAATATCATAAAGTTTTGATGTTATGTTACCGTAATTTGAAATCACAGAAGCTTTACAAATCTTTAATCAGTTTGACCAAAAGTGCTAACCTCTTGAGCCACTTGTATGACCTAATCCTATCCATTCCAAAAAGTTGTCAAGTTATGAACCATAAGCCTTTGAGCTTTTTCTCTAGATGACCCAACTTATTTTGGAAAGGAGCAAGTATAAAAACAAGAGGCCCAGGGGCCACATCGCTTACTTGAGTACTGTGAATAGGATAAGGCAAAAATCAGTTTAGTATTAAAAAGCTTAAATGCATAATTGGTCCCGACCTACTCCTAAAACGCAGAAGGGGTAAGGGGGAGTGGGTACAATTTGAACAACTTGAATCTACACTATCTGATCATGCTTCCAAATAAAATGACAAACCATGGCTTTGCTGTTCTTGAGAAGAAGATTTTACCAATATACTCCTATGTTAAACTCTGAACGTCCATTGTGGCTCCACCTACCCAGGGGGTTATGATTTTGAACAAACTTGAATTTACACTACCTGTGGATGTTTTCACATAAATATGAACAATCATGGATTTGGTGTTCTTGAGAAGAAGATTTTTGAAGATTGTTTCTATATATTCCTTTGCTAAACTTTCATCGTCAATTGTGGCCCCACCCCACCTCCGGGGGTCATGTTTTGAACAAACTTTAATCTACACCACCTGAGGATGGTTCCATTTGAATATGAACAACCATGGCTTAGACGATCTTGAGAAGAAGTTTCTTAAAGATTATACATGTATGTTACTGTGTAAACCCTTGATCATCCATTGTGGCCCAACCCTATCCCCGGGGTCAGGATTTGTACAAACTTTAATCTACACCACCTGCAGATGCTTCCTTATAAATATGACCAATAATGACTTCACTGCTCTTGAGAAGTACTTTTTTAAAGATTTTTCTGTATCATATTCCTATGTAAAACTTTAATGATCAATTGTGGCCCCACTCTACCCCGGAGGTCATGTTTTGAAAAAAAATTTGAATCTACACCACCTGAGGATGCTTCCATATAAATATGATTATTCATGCCTTTGCTGTTCTTGAGAAGAAGATATTAAAATATGTTTCCTATATATTCCTATGTAAAACTTTGATCAGCCATTGTGGCCCTGTCCTACCCCTGGGGTCATGATTTGAACAAACTTGAATCTGCACTACTTGAGGATAATTCCACAGTTTCATCCATCCTGGCTCAGTGGGTTTTGAGAAGATTTTTAAAAGATGCCATTAATTTTTTGCTAAGTCATAATGATCTCCACTTGGAAGAGGGCATTCATTTGAACAAATTTTAATTCCCTTCACCCAAGGATACTTTTTGGCAAGTTTAGTTGAAATTGGTCCAGTGGTTCTTGAGAAGAAGATGAAAATGTAAAAAGTTTACAACGATGACGACGACAATAACGACGACGACAGACAAGGGACAAATTTTGATCAGACTAGCTCACTTGAGGCTTCGGCTCGGGTGAGCAAAAAAGGAACGAAGGAACGTGAATTTCATAGTCCAAACCTTTCTTGGGCCTTAGGAAAAGGGCAGAAACCATTTCAATTTAAAAATCTTTAAAAATTGTCTTTACCAGTCGATATGTATACAAGGGGGAATTATGCTAATTAGGCGGTTTGGTAATTAGGCTGGTGGGATGTTGGATACAACTTCATGGTGGGGGAGGACGGGAACGTGTATGAGGGGCGTGGCTGGGATCAGGTGGGAGCTCACGCTTATGGCTACAATTCCGTCAGTTTAGGTAAGATCTTATGGCTACAATTCCGTCAGTTTAGGTAAGATCATGCTTATGACTACAATTCCGTCAGTTTAGGTAAGATCATGCTTATGGCTACAATTCCGTCAGTTTAGGTAAGATCATGCTTAATGGCTACAATTACGTGAGTTTAGGTAAGATCATGCTTAATGGCTACAATTACGTGAGTTTAGGTAAGATCATGCTTATGGCTACAATTCCGTCAGTTTAGGCAAGCTCACGCTTATGGCTACAATTCCAATAGTCTAGGTAAGCTCAGGCTTAATGGCTACAATTACGTGAGTTTAGGTAAGATCGTGCTTATGGCTACAATTCCGTCAGTTTAGGTAAGATCATGCTTATGACTACAATTCCGTCAGTTTAGGTAAGCTCAGGCTTAATGGCTACAATTACGTGAGTTTAGGTAAGATCATGCTTAATGGCTACAATTACGTGAGTTTAGGTAAGATCATGCTTAATGGCTACAATTACGTGAGTTTAGGTAAGATCATGCTTATGGCTACAATTCCGTCAGTTTAGGTAAGATCATGCTTAATGGCTACAATTACGTGAGTTTAGGTAAGCTCATACTCAATGGCTACAATTCCGTGAGTCGAGGTAAGAAATCTTATCAAATGACAGTCATGCCTCCACCCAACCCAAAGAATGATGAAAAAACTGTGAAATGAAGATTTATAAAATGTTAAGAAAAGGTTCAGTGGTGGATGTTTTTTTTTTCTTTAACTGACTTTACGTTTTGTAGGCATCTCTTTTATTGGTGATTTCCGTGAAAGACTTCCTAATGCAAATGCCATCCGCGCCGCGCAGGCGCTGATAAGATGTGGTGTGGATAACGGAAAGATAATCGGGAACTACAAACTTAAAGGCCATCGTGACGTAGGAAATACAGAGTGCCCGGGGCAGACACTGTACGAATATATTCAGTCATGGCCTCATTATAACATTCACTGACTACACAAAAATCACAGTGCGCAGGGGCATTGAAAACATCAAATAATGTAAATTTTTGATAATTTTTTCTTGTATAAAATCATTTATTTTGTTAGTCAGAAACATATTTTGATTTTTACCGTAATGCTTTACGTAAAAGCAGTAGAGTCATTAAAATCTTCTGATTTCCTTCGGAAAACCTCAAATTGTTTTTGTTTTTCCTATTAAAAAGAAGAGCATTTATCTCCATGTCCAGCTATTTTTATGTAACTTCATCATTATACTATATATGGGAAATGGAGACATGCATATGATCATAATTTCATTATTTTTCATTGATATAAAGATTCGTCTATATTTCATTTAATTGGGAAATGTGGTCGTAGTCCCCGGACACAATTTGGTCTTCCGAATCATAGAGGAAAAAAATTAGAAATAACCGTCTAGTTTTTTTTTGTTTTATGTTATGATCAATGCGATGTTGTGATCAATGCGGTGTTTATGCGTAAAATTCTCGCGCAAGCAAACTGATTGAACGTCCTCATAAATCTAAAAACAACCAAGACAGTTTCTCCCTGATAATTTACATTTGAACTTGATCCTTGATTCAATAGAAAATATTTCACTCAATAAAAAAAAAATAAGCATCCTCTTCGGGTGTACTAAGCAACACACAGAAAGCATGCAGTTCTGTCACGATGTAAATATTTTGAATTTACGGGGTGCATGGCAGCTAAATAAAAAAAATTACAACATGACAACTTGTAAATTGTGTATCAACTGCCATGCACCCGGTAAATTCAAAATTTACAACATGACACTATTTTGTGAAGGGGGAGGGGGGGGGTTAAGATCGAACTTCGTTCAGTACCTTTTTTTTCATACGCTATATACTGCAACAAAAATGGGGGGGGGGGGGGGCTTTTCAATGAACATTTTGAATAGTAAATATGCAATGTTTTGAAAAACTTTGCCCCCCCCCCCCCGCTGTTGCTACGTGCCTGATATTTGGAATGCAATTATAATTTATGTATATGTGTATCTGGTATGCTTTCGCGCTACAGTTTTGCTTTATCTTCTTGTACTGTAGCCATTACTATAACAGATCCTGATTTGTGGAAGTCGCGCCTGCAAAGCTCTATTTTTTTAAAATTCTTCATTGACAGAAATACAAGGGCGTGAGGGCACCCCCTCTCTTTTTTCTTTTCTTTTGCTTGTCAGATTTTTTTCCGGTTTGAAATTTTTTTCTCTGCCCCCCCCCCCCTTCAAAATCGATGCCACTTCTTGTATATGTTGTACCTGATTTTTTGGGGGATCAATTACTGAAGATCATCATATTTTTATTTATCAAAAAAAAAAAAAAAAAAAAAAAAAAAAAAAAAAAAATTCAACGATTTAAATACCGACTCCATTCCCCTGGTCCTTTGAGTTTCTTTTATTATTTCTGGTAAAGCATAAAGTCGATGTGTAAGAGCATATTGAGAATATACTGATTTTTTTTTTATTTGGATTAATTAGATATATAGGAAGGTCGATAAGACTTATCTACAGATTATGTAGATATACAAAAAAAAAACAAAAAAACAAGTGTTTATTAGTTTTTTTTAAACAAATTTTAATTATATTTTTTGTAAGAATTAAAATTGAAACCTCAAGCAATCTAATTATCTTTCTGCTTTGAATTAAATATCTAGTAAAGAGAGAGAGAGAGAGAGAGAGAGAGAGAGAGAGAGCACGTGTGCGCTATGTACCTCGGGTAGAGTCATCAAACGTCATAGTGAACACTCGTCAGGCGGGAAGAAGTTCTTGGACGATACCAAACATAGGGGTGTGATGGAAAAGATGAACTAGTGGTCGTAAAAATAACTAGCAATTTCTTACATTCTTTTCACAATCCTCAATGAAAATGTCCTAGAATATATGTTAAGATTTCCAGTACAATGATATATTTCTATCTTAAAAAGAATAAATATCTCAGCTCTACTCAAAGTATCCTGTTACCCCCTACTCTTAGACAGGTCCGACAGTTCTCCGACTCATCCAAGTTTCGGCTGCAAAGATCATCCTCGCTGTAGGATCTGTTATATTATTTATATATAGTCTGTTTTGTAGTAGGAGTGTTTTTGTCTCCCCAGAATGGTGAGTATAACAAATATGTATCCCAAACTAAATCAAGGTAAGTGATATTGTGTAGATTTATAGTTCATGAGAGATGATACGAAGAAACGCAAGCACGGTAACTGTGTTAACCTTTTGCAGGAGTAACAGGCAAAACAATGACTAAAATTAGCGCATCATGCACCGCATCAGGTTTCAATTCGGCACCATGTTTATGACAGGAGATATGTCTTGTGCAGGTTGAAGACAGCCAACTTGGCCTTGAACAGAACATAGAGCGCCTGCTCTTCACCGTTGAGAAAATGAGTTGGGGCCTAAATCAGTTTCTAAATTTGCAGTGCCAGTTTAGTCTACGTATTCATTTGTAAAACAATATATTATTTACTTAAAGGTGATTACCAGGAACTATATTTTAAAAAGTTTGTAAAGTATTGAGAACATATTGCCAAAAGTTTGTAAAGTATGGATTGAGATTACCGTCGAAATTTGCTGCCTGTGTAACAACTAATCAAATGTAACTTTTAATTCATGTTGAAATAGAAAATACAAGTGATGACAATGTATCACTTCTAAGCTCTGCTGTATGTTTTGATATGCTGTGAAAATTAATTTATTGACTTGATGTCACGGGGTGTCAAATCTGCTGCATTCAAGTCTGTCGCTTAATTTTTTTCCTCAAAAATAAAGATAAAAGATTTTTTAAGAACAAGAAGATATCATTTTACGGTTTACATTCTAATTGTGTTTTTTAATCAGAAAACAACTTGCTGTGTTTTCAATTTCTATTTTTGACACTTTTTACCAATTTGAAATTCCCACTTGATTCTAAGAGAAGGAATGAGAAATGACATAAAGTTGTATGCAGCTAGATTTTCCAATTATGTGAAAATACATTTATTATGAGAAAAATCGAATTTTTTTCTGAACAATGAATAGAAAAGTGGTTCAGGCCATACCAATTTCTAATATACAGTCAATGGACAAAAGTATTCGTCATTTTTCAAAATGGCGTCGCGTTGTTTACGTTCACAACGGAAGGTTTAAACGGAGATTTTTATACTTAAAAGTAAAGTCACTTACCTAATATTTGGTCAGATTTCCCTCTATACGCATTACCTCCTTAATCCCATCTGGAATGGATGCTTTGAGGCAGTGGACGTATTCAAAGGGGATGTTTTCTCTCACTTTTCTGATAGCCCAAAACAGCTAATCGCGACTTTCAATAGTTGCTGACATGCCTTTAAGCTCTCCAAATGTTTTCAATCACATTTAAATCTGGAGACTGAGCTGGCCAATCTGTGCAGTTAATATTATTTTCGGTCATATAGTTTTTCACTACGTGAGCCCTATGTACGGGAGCATTATCGTCTTGGAAAACATAGTCTTTGTTCGGGAAATGTCTGGCAATTACAGGCCATAAATTATTGTCAACTATTTCCAAGTATTTGAGTGCATTTATATTACCTTCGACAGGTACAATAGTTCCCATACCATCAAAACACATGCATCCCCAGATCATAAGTGTTACCTTCCTTTTCGATGGCGGACAAATCAAATGGGGACTGTTCGCTTCGGCATCCTTTCTCCACACATACACACGGTTATCTGTCCCGATAACAATCTGACTTTCATCGGAAAATATATATTTTTTCCATTCATTATCACTTTTCCAGTTTTTTCGTTCTTGACACCATTTTACCCGTTTTTTTCTGTTCACACATCGAACCACCATAGTCTTCCTTGCACGTTTCCTTTTGTACCCTTCTTCACGTAATTTTCTAAATACTGTTTTCTCACTAAATTGTCTTCCTCTTCCTTCGTTCAGTTTGTTTGTTAAATCTGTCAAAGTGTCCCTTCTGTTTGCTTTAGCGAGGCGACTCAACTTCGTCTTGTCCCGAGTTGTAAACAAAAGTTGACGGCCAGATCTCGGCAAGTTTTCTACAGTACCCAGTCTGTCAAATTTATTCAAAATACTCACGATTGTTGACCTTGGTATACCAAACATTCTTGCCAGTTCTGCTTTATTTGGAGTGTGGTTTGCAGATTTTACGATCATTTCTTTTACCTCAGTGCTCAACTCAACTGACATGTTTTGAGTGATGTTTTCCAGTGTTTACAGACACACAAATGACAAAATGACGTCACAAAATCGTGACGTAATTTTTCAGTCCCTTTAATATATGAAAGTTTCATTCTATTTCGTTTGTTCTATAAATAGCACGAGTGAAAAATAGAAGTATTTAATAGGCATTGATTAACGCAACGCCAATTAAAATGAAATATATTGTCCAAAAAATAGTAGTTCGTCGGATTTTTTTTTTTTTAACAAATCCAAATTATAATATTAAAAAAATAAATTTTGCGCACGCGTCCATAAATATCCGATTTCAATTTTTTTTCTCAACTTTTTACACAAAACGCATAGAAGAATTGGAAATTGTATGACAGAAGCGCGGGATTTAGACTAAGTGTTTGTTTGTACTTTTTAGCAGTCTGTGAAGTTTTGCAAGACGCTCGTGTAACTGTTTGTATGTACCAGGGGTGAGCAATTAGCATATCCAAACAACCGGGGCTACCATTTTTGGGGATCAGGCTAGGTGTTTTCTAAAGGAGGTAGCACGTTTCAGTAAAAAACATAACTACACACGCAATGCAACAACGAATGACAAGAACAATCGGTATTTTCACTTGTATTTATTATAAAATTCCCAACCAGTTAAAATTTTCCAGACAACTTGCTCCTATTGTCAATAAATCTTTATAATCTTATCTGTTTTGTAGTTCTATCTGACTTAATTACTTCCAAAAACGATTGTTTGTGAGAAGTAATTCATGAATTTCCTCTATTCCTCCATTTGTGTAAATACATGCAGAAATCTCATTAAATTATTTACGATTATCCAATGAACTGAAAGATAAGTGTTTTATGACTCACATAAATATATTTCCAGTGTATTTAATGATTTAAGATGAAAACAAAATGATTTTGATTTTATTCTAAATGAGCTATGCAATGATAAAAAAAACCTCATGATAATTCATTTAAATGTAATTTAATTTTTTTTCATTACATTTTTATGCATGATTA